TCAGTATATCTAATTTTTTCACAGTCGAATATATGAAAGTGTCAGTATAAAAACTGAAATAGTATAAAATGAATAATTTCTCTTCTACTTTCTCTCTCTCTTTCATTGTATGTAACATAACCAGGTGACAAATAGAAGAGAAAATTCCAACACACATAAAAGAAAGAGAAAATCCATGATATATGCATATGACAGGACAGGGAAAAAACCATCGTACATATATGTGATCGCGAAAGAAATCGATGACACATGATCAACAATAGGTGATTGATGTGGAATAATCCTTATGATAGTATCCGAAGGATATGCAGATCATAACAATCTGGCATTTTGTTATTGATCACTGTGAAAGATTAAGGGAAAATAACCGTCTTAAATCTATCTCTCGATGTTTCCTTTGTATCTTGCTATATATAAATACTTCATCGTTTTTTCATGAAAGTACAAGTTGTTTTGTAAATAAATTTGACGCATTTTCAAATGGAATTAACCCAAGTCGAACAATATGAAAGTGATTTATCAGAAGAAGAATTATTCGAAGGTCAAGAAACAAGTGAACCTACACGAAAACAACGGAAGAAAATTTCAAAAGTTTGGATTAAAAAAGTTGTATTTGATACTAGTACAGAAGCAGAAGTATCAATTGGAAATCAATGGTCAAAATATTACACGAATTATACAGAAGAGGGAAGGAAAGTGTATTACAGATGCAAAAAAGCGAAACGCCATGGTCCTCAATGTACTGCAGGTACATATCTCTTATACCATGCAGATAGTGATAAAGTGACTATCTATGAAACGGAAACAGAACATCAACATCATCAAGATGAAGTTCGTGGTATTGATGAAAGTGTTAGAAAGGTTATAGAAGATTTATTCAACGATGGTATTAAGAAACCAAAACTTATTCTTCGAGCACTTGAATCAAGGAAAGTGAAAGTGCCAACGTCAATACAATTAAACAACTATCTTGTCTATTACAGGAAAAAGAAGTATGGTTCACACAAAATAAGCCTAGGTGAACTTGAAGAATGGTGTAAGAATAATGAAACTGTTCCAGTTGATGAAAATCAATCCTTTGTTGTGTTTTATAAGATCTTGTATAATAACGATGAATATGAAGATGATGAGGATATCGAAGATGATACGTGTGATAAATTTCGATTCTTCATATCGTCTCTTCGTTTACTCAATATTGCATCAACATCACAACATATACATGCTGATGCCACGTATAAATTAGTGTGGCAGGGTTTCCCGGTTTTGATTGTAGGAACAACAGATCTAAATAAGGTTTTTCATCCATTTGGTATGGCAGTATGCTCTAATGAGAAAACGAAAGATTTTCAATTCATATTCAACAGTCTTCAAGTTGGTATGCAGAAAATTGGTAAAGATTTACTGAAACCAACAGCTTTAATATCAGATGCTGCTGATGCCATCAAAAATGGATTTAACAATGTGTTTGGCGAATCACACAACGAAATAATGTGTTGGGCACATATGAAACGGAAAGTGGAAAATCGAATATGTCACATAGATAACAAAGAAGTGAGAAAAGATATATTAGAAGATATTGAGATGCTTCAACTGTGTAATTCAACAACTACGTTCAAACTAGCAACAACATTGTTCATGAAAAAATGGAAGATAAATTCGAAACAAAAGAACCAATCAATATTAGAGTTTCTAGATTACTTTGATTATGAATGGATAAAATTAAACGATGGTTGGTATGAAGGGATTCAATTAAATACACCAAGTACAAACAACGCTCTCGAGTCTACTAACAGAACAATTAAAGATGACGGAACCTTTCGAGAACGCCATGTATTATCAAGATTTCTGACAATTTCTGCAGATATAATTTATAACTGGTCAACTGAACGTGATCCATCATCAGTTAATGTAAAAGTTTTTGCCATGGAGCCAACAATATCTTTGCAATTGTGGACATCTTCTTATCAATGGGCTCAATCAAAAAAAGAAGTTACTTGTCTTTCACATGGTTCTACTAAGAAGTACTATATTCCTGCTCGTGATATTCAATCGATTACAAGAAGTGATATAAACAAGTACAATAAGAAGCAATGGACAACGTTCAATCAGTTTAAGAAGTCATATGACATGTGGTGTATGGAGCTAGAGAATGATACTCACTGGAAAACATCAAAATGTAATTGTCCATATTTTTTAAAGAATTATATATGCAAGCATGTTGTCGGAATGGCTATTCGTCTCAAATACTGTAAACCACCTGCATCAGCAAAAACTGTTCCAATTGGACAGAAGAGAAAGCGTGGCAGACCAGCCAAAGCTAAAGCTGCATTATTGATGCAATAATTGTATTAAAAAATTTTGTCAACAGGCTTATCAAACTGTCTATAATATTATTTAAATAAATTCATTACTTCTACTGCTAAAATCTACTTTTCTACTGATAGAAATTCAATATTTTACTGATAGCATTTCTATTTTTTACTGACGGGAGATTGAATTTTCTACTGACACTTTCAGCTAATATACTGACCAGTTTAGAATTTATTACTGATAATTTGGATACTGATCATTTCAATAAATCTACCGATCATTTTCATTTTTTCTACTGACAGTTTCAATAATTATACCGACCACTTAAATGGTACCCTTTTAAAATTGCAAAAGAAAAGTGTTTTTGTTGTTCTGTATGAAAAGAAGATAATGTGGGAGTGACCAATTTGAGTGGTACCCCAACAGTGACTTTTTCATCTACGCATTAGAAAAATCTGATTTTTTTAGCAGTTATACTACACATAAAATGCTATTCGTCTGTCATTATTTGAAATTTACGTACCACTAGAAACGAGGATCAGTCAGTGTATCTCTGCATGTATTGTGCTACATGTGCCTCATATTCGTCTATGTTGTCCTATATCGTTTCTACTAAGAGATTTAAAACAAATGAGGGATTATTCCATATCTTTGTTTTCAAGGAATAAATAAGACGATGCAGTTTATTATGTTACCTATCGACGAATAGGATGTTTATTTAAATATTTTCGACGGTCAGCTGGAACAGATTCACATTGGGCACAACTCCATTCGATTTACGGAGAAAACGTAATTCAAGTGCACTATGTATTTGCTGCCGATAGAGAGTGTTTTAAAGAAAACGAAGAATAAGCGAAATTAAAACAAGTCACAGCTAGAGCAAAAATTGAATCGATTCGAATTTAACATTAGAATAGAACAGATAAAATATATGCAGATGACGAGATGTAAACAAATACCACGGGAAGCACGTGTAGCACACGACATACAGAGATACACTGACTAATCCTCGTTTCTAGCGGTACATAGATTTTAAATAACGACAGACGAATAGCATTTTATGCGTAGTATAACTAACGGGTGTCCCAGGTCAAATGAGCCTCTACGTATTTTTTCAAGAGCTTGCTCAAATTATGACATATATAGTTGATCTTTTTTTAAAAATATAGCCCATGACATTCTCTACAAAACTGTACGTATAGATCTGTTAAGTGATTAGTTGCAAAACTATATCTGGTCAACATTTCAATGCTGCAAAATAGTGCATTTTTGTAGGCGTTTGTTTGAAAAATTAATTCTTTTATNACGGTACCTATGATACGGAACCTTCTGTCTTTTGAAGAAAAAAAGTTTCGTACTAAACCTTTGCTGCGGAACCTTTGTTCTCAGTTTTTCCTGTAAGGTTCTCTTCGAAACCTTCATTTTACTTAACCAAAAAAAGGATCGTCCCGTGTATCGGTGGGAAGATCCTTTTTTGGTTTGGTAAAACTCCTTTTTTTTACAGTGCATTGAATGGCCCATAGAAAGTTAGCTTTAAGCGCCGAAGTTTTAGAAAAATAAACTTAACTTACAATGCTTAATGGCTGAAAGAAAAAGACGTGATTTTTCGTAACGCGATGACGTCAGGAATATAGGAGTTTCGACGAGCGCCTTTAGGGCAGATAAAAAAAGATGTAGGAAAGAAATTGGTTGATGTAAAGATACCCCTGTTAGAGTATTATTATCTGATAATGAGTAACTTCTGATGCATGGAGCTGTTGCGACGTACAGACACATGCACTCAGTACACTACAAATGCAATTCTGTTGCTCTCTGTTAGTGACATATTTGTCTCCAGTTATGATTCACGATTTGCTACAAGAAACTACGTTAGAAAATGAGTTTCTCAGGTTTTCGACTGTGTTCTATTAGATTGGCAACTAAGTTTTTGCACTTTTTCGACAGTTTTTTCTTTATCTATTTTTTCCTAAGAAAATCAGGCATCAGTCATGTACACACTATCGGTATCTGTGACTCGTCACCAATGATTTTGGAGGGAAAGGATGCCGCGCCGATCGAAGCGTAGAGACCTCTACGCAAAGAAGGTGACGGTGTCGAATTTTAGGTCCTCCTCTTTGTCGAACCCCCGTCCGTGCAGATTGCTTGAGAGAGACCAAAAGAAGTGGTAGTCTGTTAGAGTCGAGTATAGAGAATAAAGTGAAAGGAGCATAGTTCCTTCAAACAGTTACGGTAATTTTTCGCGAGACAAATCTGCCATATCGGTTCTCGCATTATCCTGCAGAATCTAAATTCGATCCTGCTTTTCTTTGAATTGTTGTACCACATGATTCAACTGTTAACGGCAGATAACGGTGGTGATTGCATGTCCGATTGGAAGAGAATCCCAATCATTTGTTCCTCCGATCCCCAAAGAACGCTCAATATCAACGTCTTGGAGGGTGAGTTCACTTTAGACGTTGCAACTCCCGTTTAGCCTCTGCTGAAGCATTGACATCGACGCCTATGATTAACATAAATGACCCACTTCTCATCTTCAGTAACCAGATTGCCCAGCCCTTGATTGTCACGATGAGACATTATGGAAATTCACGCATGTGTGGGAGCTGATATACCGATGATTCATGAGGGATTCACACCCCATATTTTTAACTCTTGACTAAAGCGGTCAAATGTCTTTCTATCGTAGTTTGAGGGCACTCGAACTGTTCTACTGAGCATCGTTTCGCTAAGCGTGAATCTTACTTGATCAGGCGCTCGAAAAGATTGATATCAATTTTAGATCTATGTTCATCTGTGGGCTTATATATTTTGTTGTGAAAGCGATCAAATCGACATCGCGCTGTGTGGATAGACATCTCACTCGAACCCATCGCACTACATATTTGATTCGTTGGTTCAGTCATTTCGTGACCCAAACCAAATTCATGAAGTAAAAGCGCCAGAATCTCTGTACGAAAGGTGTTCACTTCTGCGCGTTTATGTGTATCCATATCGATCGATAAAAGTTCGTTCGAACAAGAATCACACCCTTTATCTATACTCTTAGTATGAAAAATTGTAAGAACTTTGTACAGTGCGGTACAACATTTTTCAAAAAAAAACCCAAAACTTAGTTGCCAACCTAATACAACATGGTAATAATGATTCATGACAGCTGAGTGACACGTTACGCTTACAAGCTGACATATATATGACGTCATGAAACAAACGCATTAACGTATCATGTGATATCCATTGATTAAACTACGCCTGAACAATGTATACCATATCGATAAATTCATGATTTAAGAGAGAAGGTCTTATTCCTATAAACACACCGATTGATTAAAAATTAACATAATCAACATCATTTTACAAAAAGAAAATTATAACGGGTGTCCCAGGTTAAATGAGCCTCTACGTATTTTTTCAAGAGCTTGCTCAAATTATGACATATATAGTTGATCTTTTTTTAAAAATATAGCCCATGAAATTCTCTACAAAACTGTATGTATAGATCTGTTAAGTGATTAGTTGCAAAACTATATCTGGTCAACATTTCAATGCTGCAAAATAGTGCATTTTTGTAGGCGTTTGTTTGAAAAATTAATTCTTTTATTTCTTCTTGAAAAACAGATTTAAAGCTCAGTTCTAGGGCAATTTTCCTATGTTTTTGAGTGTAATCTTCCTCACAGAACCTAAAGAAAAATATTCAGATGCGAGAGCAAAATTCTATTGGTAAATCTTTTACAACAACGCGTTGGAATCATCGGTCGTTCTTGTTATGCACCTATAGCATTTCAAAAGCACACCTAACATGATTCTGCTCGTAGTGAGCTGATAGTGAAAACGTTATCCTTCAACTTATTAGTAAATTAAAATATGTAATACTTTTCCATTTATGAAAAAAAAATAAAAAGTACGATGGAACTTAATAGAGAGCTCTCGGAGCATGAACAGAGAGCAAACAGAAAGAGATTTTGTTCGAGTAAACAGGGAGTTTGTCTGAAAATGCCCTTGTGGAATGGAGAGGGCTTTTCATGGGCTACAATACGGCATATTTAGTTTGTCTATATAACGACGAAAGAACAGCACAAAATCGGTAATATAAAACGAACGCCTACAAAAATGCACTATTTTGCAGCATTGAAATGTTGACCAGATATAGTTCTGCAACTAATCACTCAACAGATCTATACATACAGTTTTGTAGAGAATTTCATGGTCTATGTTTTTAAAAAAGTTCAACTATATACGTCATAATTTGAGCAAGATATTGAAAAAATACGTAGAGGCTCATTTAACCTGGGACACCCGTTAGTAAAAAGATCAGATTTTTCTAATGCATAGGTGAAAAAATCAATATTGGGGTACCACTCAAATTGGTCACTCCCACATGTGTGAAAATGTATCGAAATAAAATTAAAGCTATTGTATTATAGGAATCAGAGGCTATGAGGGTAAATATCAATCAACTTCATTAGCGCTGTGATCTCGAGCAGAAGGAGAATGGATCGACCGTTACTTCAATGATAAGTACAAAAAAGTTGTAATTGAAAAGAATAAAATAAAAACACAAAGAGAAATGCAAGTCGAAATGTTCAGTTATTAGCGGGTCTTTGATAAGGATGGTTCGATGGGCGAGAAGCAGACGACTGATAACGACGTGAGGCTCCCTGTTGTTCAGGTTCGTCCGATTGTTGCTCGCCAAAAATAAAATCACCAACAGCATTCAATATCTTAGTCAATCCTTTTTCTCGTTTTTTTTCGCGAACGATGACAACTTTAGGTGACGTTGACATATGATCAAGTAGTTCTTTGTTTAAGTCATTTTCTGCTTTCATTTGATCAGTCAATTGTTGAATAGCAGCTGTGTTTGAGTTTTCCTGTATTCTCTTGAGTTTCTCCATGTTTCGAGCATGTTCGGCGTCAATGGCTTCCATCATATCATCAAAACGCTTCTTATCATTTGTGAAATCAGGCTTTGGTTTTGGTGTCGTCGCCGATAATCGTTGAGAGGATGATTGATGTTTGTGTAAAGTTGTACTCAATTTCTGTTTCTTGGAATGTTCAGTTTCCTGTGCCAATAGTTGATCTTGTCGATTCTTACTCTCCATTTTCAATCGAGAAATTTCATCACTCATTAGTTCAATATCGTGTTTCCTTTCGTGATGAACGGGATCACATTTTGATATTGCCTCACATAGAAGATCACGGATATCTCTTTTACTGTTTTCTGATGTTGATTTTTCGATAAAGTAAATGTAACTTTTGTCTATCGAGGTGAGTTCTTCAAGTAATTGCGCCGTTTTCGCTTCATAATCACGAGGTCGATCTGCTGGAATTCCATTGACAATCAGAAGTAATGATTTAGTTGGAAATTCATACGCATCATTAATGCGCATAAACGCAACGAGGTCTTCGTCTGGTATTCGTCCATTGTTTTGTCCAAAAACGAAGAGAACGATTGCCCAAGGACATTGCTCGAATGCTTTCATAATTTCAACGCGATTTTCATCAATCAATTTCTGATTTGCTTCGACCAAACCGGGAATATTCGCCACAGAGAACGTATATCTTCCAATATTTGTCGGCATGTCTTTCCATTCTGTATGGCGGGTAACAGATCCAGCGGCGAATCTGCTCTCAAATGCTTCGTCATCATCGAGCAACCGATTTGCTAAGAAGCTTTTCCCCACTCCACTATTTCCCAATAGAATCAGACCACATGTCGTCGCCGATGCCATGAAGAATTTCTATATCTAAAAAATACGTATATTAGGAAGTTTTATTTTGATGGATTACACTAAGCAATTGTTAGATAAGTGTCAATATGGAAAGACAGACATTTTTTATTTCTTAATTAAAGACTAGTCGGCGGTGCACGCAACGATCATCACAATATTAGGAAAAAGAAAACGGAAGTGACACAACTGAAAAGACGAGAAAGACCAATGATTACCTCAAAATGTTGATGTTTATGATATAACACAAAACCCTCCTCCTCCTCCCCGTCGGTATATGATTTGAGGTGGCCGATTCGCGAGATCTGCTATTTGTTGTCTTAGCTGTGCTTGGGCTTGGTTTGATTGCTCTAAAGCTTGCCGGATCAATGCAGTATCGGCACTATTTCTGTTTGTCATGTCGTGTATCATAGTCTGATGGTCCGCTTGCATTCGTATGAGACGCTCCTGCATCTGTTGGACTTGTTCCGCTTGTCTTTCTCTCATTGCTGTTGCTTCCTGAGCTTGTTGATCAATAATGCTCTGAAAACGCTCGCTCTCCATTCTCTGTTGAATAACGAGATCATCGTAACGTAGTTGCTGAGCACGAATTTCGTCTTGGAATTGACTTTTATTGGCATCAAATGTATCTTTCATAGTTTGGATCTGCTGTTTGAGCATCGCGACTTCATCAGCTTGTAAACGAATGTCATCTTCTTTTCTATGTACTCGTGGTGATAACTCGAAGATAGCACCTAGAAATTGATTTCTTAGAGCTACTCGTTCTTCGCGGTTTCCTCGATTGATGTGATTTAGAAAGCACATTCTTCTTTCCGAAAGTTGTCTTCCAATAATATCTCGTATCATGAGTATTACTTCACCTTCATAATTCGGTGGCCGATCTGCGGGTAGTGCATTGACTACGAGTAAGAGCGATTCAGGATTTAATGGATATGCTTTGTTAATGGAATTAAATGCAACAACATCTTCGTTACGTATGCGACCATGTTGGTGTCCAAAGACATAGATAATAAGCGAGTTCGGTCGCTGTTGGAATGCATAATCGATTTCACGCTTGTTGATATTGACGCGAGCCTAAAAAATCGGAAAAAATGCGAGCATTTTCCTATATACCTATATCAAAAGAAATTTGTTCACAAGAAGCATCCTCGTAAAACACTGAAGTTAGATTTAAAAAAAGGAACATGTCCTATATTGTACTTGATCTTGTCGAAATGTAGGAAATGTCATACCTGATCGGCTTCGATCAAGCCGGGAATATTAAAGATGGCATAGACATTGTCATCGATCGTAATTTCTTCATATTCTGTTCGATGTGTAACAGATCCACCACGAAATTCATGCTCGAATGCTTCTCGGCCAAGTAAAATGTTAGCTAAGAAACTTTTTCCGACGCCACTATTTCCAAGAATGATCAAACCAAACTTATTGTCGTAACTGCTGGCCATATATGTAAGCCTTGATGAAAAAGTATATCACAAGTCCCTGTTGTGTGCTGAGTAGACGTCGTTTACGTCTCCTTATATACTCTCGACGCAGAATGAATAATATCATAAGGGAAACCAAATAAAAATATTGACAAAGATAAGAAGAACAAATATTACACATTTAACGATATTTTCTCCAACTTGCTACGATGCATCCATTTATGAGAAGAAGACCATTACTGATACATGACTTTAAGATTTTGCTTATGTGTTTTTCTTTTTCTATAATTCAGTATGTTATCATACTGACGCAAGTAGTTTCTGAAATTACATCATGATTTCGCAAGAACGTCTGGCTCTTTATTTGAAAAAAAAGTTTATTTATTGTAGATAATCATGACAGGCCATGTGAATATCATACAGTAATACGAGTATATTCATGACTTCCCAACTTGCTTCGCGGAAAAATCCGATTTCAACGGACATAGATAGAGTTCTTTTTATAGATTCGATCAACTTGCTTTGAAATTACTTGCTAAGATTTAGATTATTCTATACGATGATACCACAGGGAACGGCAGATATATATGGATTAGTTATTATTGGAAATAGTGGTGTGGGTAAGAGTTTTTTAGGGAATATTATTCTGGGTAAACAATATTTTAAGCATGATTTTGCTGCTCGATCTGTAACACATCAGACTGAGTCGATAACCTGTCAATTGGGTGACAAATATTATAGAATTTATAACATTCCTGGTTTGATCGAAGGCGACGAAGAACGCATTGCTCTGAATCGACGTGAAGTCAGTAGAGCATTTGAGGAACAGAAAGAACATTCCCTCGTTGTTATTTATGTATTTGGGCATCAGAACGGAAGAATTCGAAACGAAGATATTGTTACATTTCGAGCTATTTACAATGCGTATACATTCAATCCAGATTCATTAATAATTATCGTTAACGGGCTCCCTCCTGATCGACCCAGCACATACGATACAGACACTCAAGCTACACTTATTGGTTTACTCGGTATACAACCAGGTCGCATTTGTTTCATCGATCGCTTGAAATTAGGTGGACCACAACAAATAGACGTGCGAACATATCTGATCGATATTATTCTAAACGTTCGTCCTCAAGTACATACTAAAACTAATGATATAAATCTGATGATTGACACTGTTCCTCAACTTGAAGCTGAACTCAATAATTTGCGGATTGAGATGGAAAACGAACGACATGAGCATGAAGGTGTAATAGCAAATATGGAAAGAGAATATGAAGTAACTCAACGTTTATTAGGTGAGATTAATCGAACATAAAATTATTTCCAATGGACATTTTGTTTTCTTCTGATTATTTCAGTTCTACGACGTTTATTCTGTCAGGCGAAAGCCAATCTGCGTCGGTTAGAAAGCTTTCGTGAACAACAAGAATATTTAATACATATGTTAGGGCAGTGGGAAGCGGAAGAAATCGCTTATGCAGATGAGCCTTCATCTGACCATTATATTGTAGCAGGAACAAATAAGCAAGACGCTGAAGAGCAATTAGCCAAAAACTTGGCTACAGAAGATCAAATTGATGTGGCATTAAATGTCGGTCGACGAGATATTGAACAAATTTGTTATGAACTTGGGCAAATTTATGGTGGAAAACTTGATCGTGAATATTACATTCTTTTTGATAATATGCGTTTTGATTCAACTATTATTGACGTCAAGCACAGTTTTCTCAATGATTTATATGAGTTTACATGTTGTCGTTTTGGTGGTATTGAATAGAAGAGTGTGTGAGTTTGTGTCGAGGAAGTCTTTGTTCGCATTATCATTGGCGGCTGTTGGCGATTAGATCTCGTTATAACTCAATACTCGTGAAAACAGACATTCAAAATTTCACAGTGAACGATGTATCCGCGTATTCTTTTAGTGTTGGCTCTCAATGGTGCTACCGCGAAGTTAAAGGAGCTCTCACTACAATAAATTTATTTTGATAAGTTTTACATTGGTACCATTTTTGCTTATTCATGCAAAATAAGAACGAGTGCCACCTGGCACAAGTCCGTTCGCTTGCCGACAAAGAAGTGAAGTTATGTCACCACGATCTGCAGCTAGTACAGGTCCAATAGTCGACATATTGCCAATCATTCGATTGGATTCATTGAAAAACATCAGTGATGCTTGAGCATAGTCATCTTGATTGCTATAACCACCGATCCAGGCTGAAAAATTGAACCGAATCGTTTGATTATCTATGAGAGAATAAAAGTAACCTGTCAAGTTTCGCTTTTGCCACATTGTTGTCGAATGAGTAGCTTGGCCATAGAAGTGGCAATTGCCACGATCACTATGAAAACTAGTAACGCTCGCTGAGGCAGACTCGCTATGCCCTCGACTGAACCACTGACTGAAAATAAAGTAGTCTTATGTGCGTTTTATGCAAAAAAAGACAGAAGTATAACCTTTGAAAGGGTACCCAGAGACTGATCTTCATTCGCCTCACAGTCTTCAAAAGAGTCAAAGGACTACTTGTGTTGCTTTTAATTATTCTATATTCCTGACTGACAATTACTTTTCACAGGAAGCAGAAGTCCGTTACAAATGACTTATGGATTTACACCTTTAAACATGTCCTCCTTTTCCTAAAAGAAAGATAATGTCAGTAAGACCAAATGAGACTCTGTATATATTTCGCATTCGAACGTGTCGGATTGTTGATACTTTGGTAACTGGCTAGATTACCAGGCGCAGCTCGTTGTTCGTCGGCGCCCCACAAGGGCGCCACTCACAACTCGCCGCTTCAAAGCTGTCCCTGTCTATCATATAATTACCCGTGTGCTACTAAAAAGTATCGAAAATTAATTAGCATTCCATCAGCATCTCATAGATAAAATTATCCGCGTCCGAACATTTAGGGCTATCTCCTTAATTAAAAGGCTTAAAGGCCTACAAAAACTTTGAATATATCGAAGGTCAGCATTTAAGATTGCTCTCCAGTATGTACCTTGTGAATGAATGTATTTTTGGATTACTGGCCTTTGGTATGCGACAGTCAACCTAGTGTGTTTTTACTTTTTCGTAATCAACTCTTCTATGTAGTCCTCCTCTCAGGCGCGGATGAAATGTTTTCTTCATTTCTGTCACATCCTTGTCCCTTCACCCCTCCTCCAGCCAACCTCGAGTCTCAGCATTCTTCCAAAATCATGTTTTACGAAGTTTTGAGCGTTTTTCAAGAAAATGTTTTTTTGACCTTTGACCCTGACACAGACAGACAGACAGACAGACAGACAAACAAACAAACAAACAAACAAACAAACAAACAAACAAACAAACTTTTTTTTATATATATGACCCTCCTTTCAGTCGAGGGAATATCCATGCATTTCTCATTTACATTTCATTTCTAGTGTTTTCAACGAACCGCCCGCCATGATCATTCCCTATCGGACGTCCGACTCTGAATAGCCCGGCCAGTACGACCCTATAAATATCCATGCATTTCTCATTTAAGTTTCACTTTGAGTATTTTCTCGTGTTCGTGTGATTGAAGACTTTTTCGTAACCACGGAACTTTTTTTGAGGGTTCAGTAAACCCCTCCCCTTAATAGAAGCCCCTCCCGTATTAGAAGCTCCCCCCATATTAGAAGCCCCGTCTACGGCAAAATTATTGGGAAAACTCCCTATAGGGGCAGTGGGAGTTTTTGAAAAAAGGGTTCGATTTTCAGAGTCATATTAGAAGCCCCCCGGGGCTTCTAATATGGGGAGGGGTTTAGAGCACTAATTTTTTTAGAGTGTAATACACCACGCATTGCGCGATGTACGACTGTTTGGATAGGTTGACACTTTGAGAAACACCACGAACACTGACCATGGAAATAGTTGATAGAACTTCTTCAATTTCATCTAACTTTTCTTCAGTCATTAAGGATGGTCTCCCTGACCGTTGTCGATCAAGCACGGAACCAGTTTCGATGAATTTATCATAAACGGCTTTAATAGATTTTTATGAAGGAATATTAGAGACATTTTCACGCTGAAAATATCGTCTAACTGATGATGGTGATTCTAATTTGGCCATCATCAAAACAATTTCAGTTCGTAACTGTAAATCGATAGGCATTAGTGTGGTTATGAAATGAATAACAGTCGAGTCAGCTCTTCATGATTCGACAAACAGTTAGTTTACTCTCTGTACGAATAACTACGAAAGAGGACATTGATTATTACATAGATGGAGTAATAATCTTGTGGTTCGGGAATAATGAATTCATGGTTGGATGATAGTTTTGATGACCGGTGGATTGGGAGAGGTGGATCCATTTCCTGAGCTCCACGGTCACCTGATTTATCACCTTTGGACTTTTTTCTCCGAGGATAAATCAGAACAAATATTTATCGAACACGAGTCAAAAATCTGAACGAATTAAAAGCTCGAATCATTCAAGGGATTCAATCATTTGAAAAACAACTTTGCATAATGTTTTTCTCGAAATAGGCAACAGATTGAATTTTTGTATTTCGCTGGAAGGTAATACTTTTGAACAGTTTTTATAAAAAACATATAAATAAAAATAAACTTTGTGAATTTCTCTATCGTTTAAAAAAAGTCGATATAGTGAAGTAAAATAGTGGAAATATTGTTAAAAACTTTTAGGAAGTGACTTTCGGGACACACTGTAGTTATTGCAAAGGAGAAGGTGAAGAAGGAAAAGATACAAAAATTGCCAAGCGTATCTCTCTGTTTCATTTCAGATACAAATTTTTCATCACCTCAATCATTGTATTTGGATTGTTATTGTACCACGTTACAATCTTTAAAATAACCCGATATTTCCATTCGATTCAATGAGTTCAAGTAATGAGAGGCTCTCATGTTCACTGAGTGCGAAAAGAAGCCAACATTTAATTTCTTGCTAGATTCTAATAAACAACCGGAAATCATGGAGATAGGTGATACTGTGAAATCTTCATTGCAAAATGAACAACTTCCAAATTTGCCAACACCGATTACATCAAAATTACATGTACCATCACCACGAACATCAACACCATTGAAACCAAAGCCGAACCAAACATCAAGAAAACGATTGGTTCGATTTAATCTTCCCGAAGCAAACATATCGGCTTCACCGCCGACTATTTCATCATTATCAAAAAGCATCATGAAAATGACAATTGTCAAGGAAACAGACGAATAGTCATTTAGATAATTATTACATCAAGCTCTAGATTCTATGCAAAACTTTCTTGTCAACTATTTCTCTCTATGCATATTCATGTTTTGTTCATTAAACTTTATTTTGTTGTGCTTAACATCTTTTACGTTCTTCCTCTCTATTCATCGAAGAACATTTTGGTTTGAATAAAGTTCATATTCCTATTCCAGATAACAAAACATCTTTTCTTATACTAATCAATGAATCAGTCCTGCACTACATCAACTTTTAATCAACCTCACTTAGGTAGTAAATGCATCACAAAATTAAGTGTCCAGTAGTAAGAATTTACCATCTTGAGGGTGATGATGTAGTCTTATACGAAGAAATTAAGAAAAATCTGTTACCGTAGTCTTTATTCAGTGTTGCCACACTCTCTGATATTCTTTGGTCGAAATATATTCATGTTGTATGTTCTAGATTAAATTGTATAGTTCGTGATATTCTCTTCGATGACTGACCACAGTGATGTTAACGACAGGAATAGCTGGTCATATCCAGATTTACAATCACAACTATCTGAACAACCGAGGACATTTGTCTATCAAACACAACCATTTACGATAAGCGAACAGTTAGCAGAGAAAAAGAAGAAAGAAAAGAAATGTCATGGTAATCGAAAGCTGCAACACTTCAAGCGCAAGTGTCGAGCCCGTGGTTTAACTGAAGAGCAAATTCAGGGTTTAATTCAAACGAAACATCACACAATATCTGAACCATCTATAAGTGTTCAACTAGCTACGAGCCGTCCAAATCAGTCAAATAAACGGAAGAGAGACTTATCTAAACAAAATCTTGTCTACAATTCAATGAAATCACTCAGTCAATTATCATTATCAAAGAGGAAGAAGGCGAGATATAATAGTAGGNTTTGCGCAACATTTTACATCGATTGGTTAGTTGAAAATAGTTAGTAATTGCTCGAATTAATTGGGACTTCCCAGTGCCCCCACAACCAGGTACACACATCAGTAGTTGCCCGTTAAGAGTAGCTAATATATTGTAGATGACAACATATTATCAAAAGTAGTCAAAAATTTACCATTTCGCGATGAATAGTCGCCGTCGAGATGATCACAAATAATCTTGAATGCGAATGCTTGCTGTTTATTCAATGTGAATTTCACGATAATACCTGATTTGCTTGGCAATAGAACAGTTTCAATTGTACTCACAGGTAAAACTGTTGACATTGGATCCTTCAATAGACTTGTAGGGATCTAAGCAGTGACTAGTTAAATTTGCATTTCGTCGTCTTGTGTTTCTACAGTGTAATCACCAGAAATTAAATAATTTCTTGCTTTGCCTCTTTTCGTTTCTATGTCACGTTTCCATTCTTTAACCATTTTTGCATGATTCAAAGTAGTTGTGCCAAATGCATTCAAGTCATCTTGTTACATCCCGCCATCTGATGGCACGTCCACAGATCTTTCGTGGCCGTGATCATCTCTTTCTTTCCTTTGTGTGTTGTTTCTATATAACCTGGCGAAATAAAAGTAAAGTCAATTATGTTCTAACTACTTATCGAACACACGCCTCTTCGCTCTCGAGCATCGAACATAACAGTAAGTGTAATCTTAAATCTTCAATTAATTTCAAAAGTCATCCTATGACTGTATTTTTTTCATTTCTTAAGTTCAAATTTATGAAAGTACATAGATTTTAATTTGTATACCAGGTTACATACAGAAAACCGATAAAATATCTAGTTTTAAAGTTAAGGAAATACCTTAAATCTTTTTTAATTTTGGTATATGAACAAAAGTAATGATTAAAGAATTAGAAGAAATAAACGACAGTCGTTGTTCATTTCTGATGAAAAATATGTGAGCTAGACATTTATCTTTTATCGCTTATTAGAAATAACTATTGAGGGTGACATCAATCATGTTGTCAAGAAATGCTAATATAACTAAGACGTTCAATAGCATTGGATACTACCTTTCGTCATTCTGGTGCCAATTTCACAAGTAATCTGTAATAAATAGTTGTAAATACGGATATGTAATGTTTTCAAAGTATACAATACAATATAAAACATGTTTACATATCATCTATTTGGTTCAATAACAGAAGTTTTTAAATTATGTACCAATCTATTAATAATTAAAGATAATTTCATCGTTACAAGTGAATATTCATCATTTTATTCATATTTTAGATAAAATTTCATTTTGAAACATGCGGTTGCTCTTGCTTCAAATATTTTTTCAATTTTTTAAACTTTGTACAACAATAATTTGCATCTGGTATGTGTATAACAAATCAAATACTTCTCAGAAAACAACAAAGCAAGTATATTGATAAGAAGAACGAATAGTTCTTAAAATTAAAGAAAAGACAAATAGAAACTCAGTTTTATCAGAAAATCATCGATTAGCTGCTTGATAAATCAAAGATAGCTTAATTAAATAGATTTGAACTAGATATGTATACGAAGAAATAATCTTGTAAAGAACAACATTCATTGTTTTAAAATGTAACAGTCAGATATGTTCTGCTTGTACAAGACAACATGAAGCAAATAAACTGTGTTAATGAAGAGTGTCAGTTTGTATTGATATACCACTTGTCTTAGTTAAATTATTTAGCGGAATATTCGTTGCTGATATATTAAACTCATTGCTATCACCGCCGTCATCTTCTCTATCAGGATCATTGTCCACTTTTTTTCAAGATAAACAAGACTATCTTTTACTTCTTCAGGCACTTCCCATACGTTGTCTTGATCATCCTCTTTAAATGCTTTAGTCAATCTATCCATTAACCTATATTGAATTAGTAGTTGAACATCACTTAGACGAGGAAACATGTCATGCTTGATTAGAACACATCGTTGATAGCGTACTTGAGCGCGATTAGCTTGAATTTCAGCAGGTGTTATCATCGATATCGTTGATGGTAATTCAAGAGTATCTGTTTGAGCAGTGGATGAAGTCATAATAGAAATTATTGAATTTGTTGAGAAAAGCTTTCAGCGCAATCCCTAACAGGATAAAAATGTGAAACACAATGAAACTAGCGATATTGCTTTCGTAATATCGTTCTGAAAAAGCAGAAATTGGTTGGACGATATACAGTTGTCAAAATCATGTACACAAACCGAGCAGAGAAGTCTTGTGAAATGGTATTTTGGGGAAAATGTGGAAGTAGGGGTGAAAGAAAATGAACTGGATTGTTAAATCGAGCTCTGATTGTTAATGGCATCTCGATAAAACTATATTCATATCTAGAGCTTTCTAAGAAATATTCGACTTGCCAAATTCACATAGAGCCAGAGGGCGTTTTTTCATTCCATCCACACCATACATGCGATGAATTATTGGAAAGATAAACGATAGTTAGAAAGGTGGGAGAGAGGACAAGTGTGAGCTTTATTTAAATAAGTCTTTTTGTGAAAATATACAATGCAAAATAAAGTCTATACGTAGAATCATTTGTGGTGAAAAAATTACTGGTGTACGAGCATAAAAAAAAGCGAGCCAGATATCCAAGAAAGTATTTGTGATCGATCATAATATCGAAGCAGATGTTGAAACTTTCTGTTTGTTTGCGACTAGAAGAAAACCGATCAAGGTTTCAATTGAAACTTTTTTCGAATGCGGAAGTGTACGAAAGAATTTTAGATGGAATAGTGATAGATTAACATTGCCAGAGAAGTTTCCGAAAGATTGAAACAAAACCATCGTGGAACTACGAATGACGAACAACTGTAAGTTGTCACTTCTGTCAATTATGATAACAATAAAAAGCAATGTAAAGTATGTATAATTGAACTGTGCTCTGCATGATGCTGATTCTCACGATAAAAAAAGGTATGAAAATTTGTATATAGATTTTGTTTAGTCTACAATTAGATTAATATAATTATAAAGAAGTAGATTATACTGGCAATGTTTTTGCTTGTATTATGACCGGGGAAGCTTAGAAAAGAATATATGAAATAGACTTCCTATGCAGATCTGATCATGACAGACAGTAAAAAGAAGTGATAATTCTGTAGAATAAATCAGCTAGAAACAAATCTTGCCGTGTAATCGATAAAGTTAGGTAACTTATATAATACTTGGATTGTGATTTTACCGCGCTACAATCTCTGAAATAACCTGATATTTTCATTCAATTCAATGAATTCAAGTAATGAGAGGCTCTCATGTGCACTCAGCGCAAAAAGAAACCAACGTTTAATTTCTTGCCAGATTCTAATAAACCATCGGAAATCATGGAGGTAGGTGATACTGTGAAATCTTCATTGCAATATTAACAACTTCCAAATTTGCCAACACCAATTACATCAATACCATTGAAACCAAAGCCGACTCAAACATCAAGAAAACGATTGGTTCCATTTAATCTTCCCGAAGCAAACATATCGGCTTCATCGCCGACTATTTCATCATTATCAAAAAGCACCATGAAAATGACAATTGTCAAGGAAACAGACGAATAGTCATTTAGATAATTATTACATCAAACTCTAGATTCTATGCAAAACTTTCTTGTCAACTATTGCTCTCTATGTACATTCACGTTTTGTTCATTAAACTTTATTTTGTTGTGCTTGACATCTTTTACGTCCTTCCTCTCTATTCATCGAAGAACATTTTGTTTTGAATAAAGTTCATATTCCTATTCCTGATAACAAAACATCTTTTCTTATATTATTCAATGAATCAGTCTTACACTTCATCAACTTTTAATCAACCTCACTTAGGTAGTAAATGCATCACAAAATTAACTGTCTAGTAGTAAGAATTTTCCACACAGATATAAAAGTACGACGCGACGCTGTTGCGACAACTTCACGAACATTTTGAGGGTGTTGATGTAGTCTTATACGAAGAAATCAAGAAAGATCTGTTACCGTAGTCTTTATTCAGTGTTGCCGCACTCTCTGATATTCTTTGGTCGAGATATATTCATGTTGTATGTTCTAGATTAAACTGTATAGTTCGTGATACTCTCTTCGATGACTGACCACAGCGATGTTAACGACAGGAATAGCTGGTCATATCCAGATTTACAATCACAACTATCTGAACAACCGAGGACATTTGTCTATCAAACACAACCATTTACGATAAGCGAACAATTGGCAGAGAAAAAGAAGAAAGAAAAGAAATGTCACAGTAATCGAAAGCTGCAACACTTCAAGCGCAAGTGTCGAGCCCGTGGTTTAACTGAAGAACAAATTCATGGTTTAATTCAAACGAAACATCACACAATATCCGAACCATCTATAAGTGTTCAATTAACTACGTGCCGTCCAAAACAGTCAAATAAACGGAAGAGAGACTTATATAATAAAAAACTATTAACAAAGAGGAAGAAGGCGAGATATAATAGTAGGTCGTTAAGCAGTAAAGACAACACCAGTAGTTCAAATAAACATACTTGTACTGTATACAAACAATCAAAGTATTTGAGGATGCCACGAAAGCTATTTCAACATTCATTACGTCTGCAGTTGAAGCATCCACTGAAACGGAAAAAAGAACGACACTTCATTGTAGAACGTCTTCAACTACTTGATCAACAGTTCTATCTCGATCATATTCGATCTCTCTATCAAACTTATTTTAATCAAGGTCTTAAATTTCATATGTGGTCTGTAAGTGTTGATGATACTGTTTTATTATCATTACCAGTTCGCATCACTTTCATAGGATGATATCCTCAAGATTGCGCAAACAACAGAACGCAGTGTCATCCAAAAGTATCCCGAAGAGTACTTGATATTATTACGAGACGAAATCAGTCAATGTACAACTGAATTAGCAATTCAATCATCATCGTGTCCACTGACTTTATCTTTACTGGAGATTGTCGATGCGCGACTGCATGAATTTGTTCGTCTGCATCATATTGACTTAATGAGGACGATTCGTTTTCGAATCAATAAACTCAAAGACGAAGTTCATGAAAAACAACTATTTCAACACTTATCTTACTATTATTTAAATAATGATCAAGTAATTTTCATCTCGTAACCTCTGTTTATCATCGATTCGATGTTCCTAGTTTAAAGCAATTTCTCGATTGACCACTATTCGCAAGAAACAATTGAAGGTATTCGAAGAACAAACCATGCTTGAGCAACAAATCTTATGCCATCGGCTACCAGAATCTCACGACTCCATAGTACCGAATCTTGATATGAAAAAGCTTTCAAAAAAGCATTGTAAAATGGTACAAAAGCTAAAACGGTTGACATTAAACTTAGAATTACAGCGATATGAAGAGGACATCCATCGTTATGAGCAGTTATACCAAGAAGAATTCAATAAGCTTCAACAACAAATTCTAAATCCAACTTCATCTGACTACAAACATCAAATAGATATCTTAATGTACTCTGTCGAATCCTATCTAAATAATTATAAGCATAGACTTTTACGTCAAATAAGACACAGAGAAGCATATTTTCATACAAATTTGATCCGACAACGTCGTCGTCGACAATCGTTCATGAGAGAAAACAACATTCAGGTGCATCCACAAATTATTGTCGATGTTCCAAAAGTAGCGTTAAACGATGTCCAACTACAATTTCTCTCACAAAACGGTATCTACAAATCTATAGTTTATTGTTGGTCCTGTTTTTCTTCTTCTTTGCAAAGGTCCCAGTTACATTCGACCGAACCAAAGCTACTCTGTAAAAAAAAAGGCGTCGTACTGAACCATAAAAGGTTCTAGATTTCGGTACCATTTTCAGAACCCTCTAAGGTTCAAGCACAATCTGGTTTTATCTAAACCTTTTTTCTATTTTCTCAAAAAATGGTTCTAGTCTTCCAGAGAACAGTTCATTTTAGTTGCTCTACCTTCCACTATCTATTGGTCCCCTATTCAACTACTTATCCTTGTCTTTTGCGCGCCACTTCTATCCATGAGCTTATCTATAACTACCTATTTCTAATCCTAACCTTAACATTGTCCTTAACTGACTATACCTGAGCTTATTCTGCACTGCCTACTTCTGTTCTTAATTTTAANTCTTCCCGAAGCAAACATATCGGCTTAACCGCCGACTATTTCATCATTATCAAAAAGCATCATGAAAATGACAATTGTCAAGGAAACAGACGAATAGTCACTCAGATAATTATTAGATCAAACTCTAGATTCTATCGAAAACTTTCTTGTCAACTATTGCTCTCTATGCACATTCACGTTTTGTTCATTAAACTTTATTTTGTTGTGCTTAACATCTTTTACGTTCTTCCTCTCTATGCATCGAAGCACATTTTGGTTTGAATAAAGTTCATATTCCTATTCCAGATAACAAAACATATTTTCTAATACTAATCAATGAATCAGTCTTACACTTCATCAACTTTTTATCAACCTCACTTAGGTAGTAAATGCATCACAAAATTAAGTGTCCAGTAGTAAGAATTTTCCACATAGATATAAAAGTACGACGCGATGCTGCTGCTTCAACTTCACGAGTATCTTGAGGGTGATGATGGAGTCTTTTACGAGGAAATCAAGAAAAATCTGTTACCGTAGTCTTTATTCAGTGTTGCCGCACTCTCTGATATTCTTTGGCAGAGATATATTCATGTTGTATGTTCTAGATTAAATTGTATAGTTCGTGATACTCTCTTCGATGACTGACCACAGCGATGTTAACGACAGGAATAGCTGGTCATATCCAGCTTTACAATCACAACTATCTGAACAACCGAGGACATTTGTCTATCAAACACAACCATTTACGATAAGCGAACAATTGGCAGAGGAAAAGAAGAAAGAAAAGAAATGTCATGGTAATCGAAAGCTGCAACACTTCAAGCGCAAGTGTCGAGCCCATGGTTTAACTGAAGAACAAATTCAGGGTTTAATTCAAACGAAACATCACACAATATCCGAACCATCTATAAGTGTTCAATTAACTACGTGCCGTCCAAAACAGTCAAATAAACGGAAGAGAGACTTATATAATAAAAAACCATTAACAAAGAGGAAGAAGGCGAGATATAATAGTAGGTCGTTAAGCAGTAAAGACAACACCAGTAGTTCAAATAAACATACTTGTACTGTATACAAACAATCAAAGTATTTGAGGATGCCACGAAAGCTACTTCTACATTCATTACGTCTGCAGTTGAAGCATCCACTGAAACGGAAAAAAGAACGACACTTCATTGTAGAACGTCTCCAACTACTTGATCAACAGTTCTATCTCGATCATATTCGATGTCTCTATCAAACTTATTTTGATCAAGGTCTTAAATTTCATATGTGGCCTGTAAGTGTTGATGATACTGTTTCATTATCATAATCAGTTCGCATCGCTTTCATAGGACGGTATCCTCAAGATTGCGCAAATAACAGAACGCACTGTCATCCAAAAGTATCTCGAAGAGTACTTGATATTATTACGAGACAAAATCAGTCAATGTACAACTGAATTAGCAACTCAATCATCACCGTGTCCACTGACTTTATCTTTACTGAACATTGTCGATGTGCGACTGCATGAATTTGTTCGTCTGCATCATATTGACTTAATGAGGACGATTCGTTTTCGAATCAATAAACTCAAAGACAAAATTCATGAAAAACAACTCTTTCAACACTTATCTTACTATTATTTAAATAATGATCAAGTAATTTTCATCTCGTAACCCCTGTTCATCATCGATTCGATGTTCGTAGTTTAAAGCAATTTCTCGATTGACCACTATTCGCAAGGAACAATTGAAAGTATTCGACGAACAAACCATGCTTGAGCAACAAATCTTATGCCATCAGTTACCAGAATCTCTCGACTCCATACTACCGAATCTTGATATGAAAAAGCTTTCACAAAAGCATTGTAAGATGGTACAAGAGCTAAAACGGTTCACATTAAACTTAGAATTACAGCGATATGAAGAGGACATTCATCGTTATGAACAGTTATACCAAGAAGAATTCAATAAACTTCAAGAACAAATTCAAAATCCAACTTCATCTGACTACAAACATCAAATAGATATCTTAATGTACTCTGTCGAATCCTATCTAAATAATTATAAGCATAGACTTTTACGTCAAATAAGACACAGAGAAGCATGTTTTCATACAAATTTGATCCGACAACGTCGTCGTCTACAATCGCTCATGAGAGAAAACAACATTCAGGCGCATCCATAAATTATTGTCAATGTTCCAAAAGTAGCGTTAAACGATGCCCAACTACAATTTCTCTCATAAAACGGTATCTACAAATCTATAGATGTTTTCGAACTTTAGTAAAGTTTATTGTTGGTTCTGTTTTTCTTCTCCTTTGCAAAGGTCCCAGTTACGTTCGACCGAACCAAAATTATCTCCATTGTGATCAACAACAACAGAAACAGGTCGATCGAGAATTTAACAAAACTCTTGACGTAATCGTTCCTTATCTCGCGCGTGTCTATCATATGTCGCCAACATCAATATTTACCAGCCGATTCTCCCATCAATTGGCTACTTATCTGTGTGAACAGTACATGGCTCCAATCTCTTATGTACATGCTCATCATGCTTGACAAGAAAGAAAAGCAATCAAATGCTTCGTGTAACGGACAAAAGTGGCATATTCCATATTGATGACACCAACGATTATGAACAAAAAGCAGAAGCTTACCGAGAAAAAATGAAGGCGTATATCGAACTAGAAAATGATCCCTTATGCGTAGTTTTTGACAAGGCAGTCAATTTGCTCAATGATCTTCGTTCGAAAAAGCATATTCTTGCATGGTAATTTGATAAAATGATGCCGAAACCAGAGAACGCTCAACTAGCTTACCTCTATTTTGTTCCAAAACCACATAAGGTAATTTTTGAAAGTTTTTTCTTTTTTATCAATCTAAATTCCGTTTGTATTCACAGGAAGGAACACCATTAAGACCGATTGTGTCCTCAATGCATATGCCAACAACTGGCATTTCCAAGTTTCTTGATCGACTACTTCGACTGTTATTCGATCAACATGCTCGCCCTACTACAATTATCGATGGTGTTGATCTCATTCGACGACTTCAAGCATACACTACAAATGGATATTTGAAGCCNAAATTCAGAGTTTAATTCAAACGAAACATCACACAATATCCGAACCATCTATAAGTGTTCAACTAGCTACGAGCCGTCCAAAACAGTCAAATAAACGGAAGAGAGACTTATCTAAACAAAATCTTGTGTACAGTTCAATGAAATCACTCAGCCAATTATCATTATCAAAGAGGAAGAAGGCGAGATATAATAGTAGGTCGTTAAGCAGTAAAGACAACACCAATAGTTCAAATAACCATACTTATACTGTATATAAACAATCAAAATATTTGAGGATGCCACGAAAGCTACTTCTACATTCATTACGTCTGCAGTTGAAGCATCCATCGAAATGGAAAAAAGAACGACACCTCATTGTGGAACGTCTCCAACTACTTGATCAACAGTTCTATCTCGACCATATTCGATGCCTCTATCAAACTTATTTTGATCAAGGTCTTAAATTTCATATGTGACATGTAAGCGTTGATGATACTGTTCCATTATCATTACCAATTCGCGTCACTTTCATAGAATGATATTCTCAAGATTGCGCAAACAACAGAACGCAGTGTCATCCAAAAGTATCTCGAAGAGTACTTGATATTATTACGAGACAAAATCGATCATCATCGTGTCCACTGACTTTATCTTTACTGGAAATTGTCGATGCGCGACTACATGAATTTGTTCGTCTGTATCATATTGACTTAATGAGGACGATTCGTTTTCGAATCAATAAACTCAAAGACGAAATTCATGAAAAATAACTCTTTCAACGCTTATCTTACTATTATTTAAATAATGATCAAGTAATTTTCATCTCGTAACCTCTGTTTATCATCGATTTGATGTTGCTAGTTTAAAGCAATTTCTCGATTGACCACTATTCGCAAGAAACAATTGAATTTATTCGAAGAACAAACCATGCTTGAGCAACAAATCTTATGCCATCGGCTACCAGAATCTCTCGACTCCATAGTACCGAATCTTGATGTGAAAAAGCTTTCAAAAAAGCATTGTAAAATGGTACAAGAGCTAAAACGGTTGACATTAAACTTAGAATTACAGCGATTTGAAGAGGACATCCATCGTTATGAACAGCTATACCAAGAAGAATTCAATAAGTTTCAACAACAGATTCTAAATCCAACTTCATCTGACTACAAACATCAAATAGATATCTTAATGTACTCTGTCGAATCCTATCTAAATAATTATAAGGGTAGACTTTTACGTCAAATAAGACACAGAGAAGCATGTTTTCATACAAATTTGATCCGACAGCGTCGTCGTCGACAATCGCTCATGACAGACAACAACATTCAGGTGCATCCACAAATTACTGTCGATGTTCCAAAAGTAGCATTAAACGATGCCCAACTACAATTTCTCTCACAAAACGGTATCTACAAATCTATAGTTTATTGTTGGTCCTGTTTTTCTTCTTCTTTCCAAAGGTCCCAGTTACATTCGACCGAACCAAAGTTATCTTCACTGTGATCAACAACAACAGAAACAAGTCGATCGGGAATTTAACAAAACTCTTGACGTAATCGTTCCCTATCTCGTGCGTGTCTATCATATGTCACCAACATCAACAATCATCAACCGATTTTTCCATAAATTGGCTCCTTATCTGTGTGAACAGTACATGGCTCCAGACTAGAAAGAAAAGCAATCAAGTCCTTCGTGTAACGGATAAAAGTGGCATATTCCATATTGGTGACGCCAACGATTATGAACAAAAAGCAGAAGCTTATCGAGAAAAAACGAAGGCGTATATCGAACTAGAAAATGATCCCCTATGCGTAGTTTTTTACAAGGCAGTCAATTTGCTCAATGATCTTCGTTCGAAAAAGCACATTCTTGCGTGGCAATTTGATAAAATGATGCCGAAACGAGAGAACGCTCAACTAGCTTATTTGTATTTATCTATACAATAAATACATTTTACAAATATCTTACAGAAATTGATACAAACATTTATAACGACTTTCTTTTAGAAAGCTACACTGGTCAGTAAAAATAATTTACCTGCAATAATTCGAANAGCTTTCAAAAAAGCATTGTAAAATGGTACAAGAGCTAAAACGGTTGACATTAAACTTAGAATTACAGCGATATGAAGAGGACATCCATCGTTATGAACAGCTATACCAAGAAGAATTCAATAAGCTTCGACAACAAATTCTAAATCCAACTTCATCTGACTACAAACATCAAATAGATATATTAATGTACTCTGTCGAATCCTATCTAAATAATTATAAGCATAGACTTTTACGTCAAATAAGACACAGAGAAGCATGTTTTCATACAAATTTGATTCGACAACGTCGTCGTCGACAATCGCTCATGACAGAAAACAACATTCAGGTGCATCCACAAATTATTGTCGATGTTCAAAAAGTAGCGTTAAACGATGCCCAACTACAATTTCTCTCACAAAATGGTATTTACAAATCCATAGTTGTTTTCGAACTTTAGTATAGTTTATTGTTGGTTTTGTTTTTCTTCTCCTTTGCAAAGGTCCCAGTTACATTCGACCGAACCAAAGTTATTTTCATTGTGATCAACAACAACAGAAACAAGTCGATCGAGAATTTAACAATACTCTTGACGTAATCGTTCCTTATCACGTGCGTCTCTATCATAGGTCGCCAACATCAACAATTATCAGCTGATTCTCCCATCAATTGGCTACTTATCTGTGTGAACAGTACATGGCTCCAATTTCTTATCTTCATGCTCATCGTGCTCGACAAGAAAGAAAAGCAATCAAGTTCTTCGTGTAACGGATAAAAGTGGCATAGTCCATATTGGTGACGCCAACGATTATGAACAAAAAGCACAAGCTTATCGAGAAAAAACGAAGGCGTATATCGAACTAGAAAATGATCCCCTATCCGTAGTTTTTGACAAGGCAGTCAATTTGCTCAATGATCTTCGTTCGAAAAAGCATATTCTTGCATGGCAATTTGATAAAATGATGCCGAAACGAGAGGACGCTCAACTAGCTTACCTGTATTTTGTTCCAAAACCACATAAGGTAATTTTTGAAAGTTTTTTCTTTTTTATCAATCTAAATTCCGTTTGTATTCACAGGAAGGAACACCATTAAGACCGATGGTGTCCTCAATGCATATGCCAACAACTGGCATTTCCAAGTTTCTTGATCGACTACTTCGACCATTATTTGATCAACATGCTCGCTCAACTAGAATTATCGATGGTGTTGATCTCATTCGACCACTTCAAGCATACACTACAAATGGATATTTGAAGCCAACAATCTATTTGTGCACATTTGACATCACAGATTTATATACAATGTTACCACCGGAAGAATCTCTCGATATTCTAACTGAATTTCTTCTAGAACATGGATATACCAAAGTGAATTCAGTGTCCATTGATGCCATTCGGAAATTAGCTCGTCTTGCTCTCACAGAAAATGTATTCACTTATGAGAAAAGATTCTATCGGCAAGTGATCGGCGGTGCTATGGGCTCTGCATTTACTTTGAGTTTAGCCAATGTTTTCTTATGGAAATGGGAAAAACCATTACTTCAGCAGCAGCTAAATACAAACGAAATCTATGGAAGGTACGTTCAGTATCTTAGGAAAAGCGCTATTGTCTCAATATACTCTATTTATCTTTTATAGATATATCGATGATATCTTCTTTACTTCGAATCAACCACTGGAGAAAATCAATGAAATGTTAGATCACGCCAACGATTTCCATCCAAATATCAAATTAGTTCGGCAAATTGGTAAGAATGTATCATTCTTAGATGTGCTTATTGAAAATGATCATGGTACATTGAAAACATCTGTGTATCACAAAGAAGCAGCCGAACCATACACAGTGCCATTTAATTCTGACCATCCTCATCATACCTTCAGAAATACCATTGACACAGCACTTTTGCGTGCTGTACGCTATTCATCTACACTATCAATTTTTCAAAAAGAACAACGTACAATCAAACTAATGCTTCTTTACAACAAGTAATTTGATCTATTTCTGTATGTTCACAATCCGGTTTATCCGATATCTTCTAGCTATACACCACGGTTTATCTACAGCAGATCCCACAATTTCATCACCTCTTATCCCAAAACTTCAAACATCCAACCATTCATACATGATGAAAATGAATTTAGAGCGATCCGACACAAAATGCTCAACATTCCAACTATTCTAGAATATCGAATGGCGCCCTGAATCGAAAGCGATAATGTTACCTCTGATCCTGAATCAGTAAAAACTGATGTACCAGAAACCAAATCCACAAAATGTTCGAAAAGGGAAAACCAACTCATAATTCATGACACTCATGAGCAACGCTTTCGGACATACAAACGAGATCTACACCAACTTTGGAATGAAACATATCGATCAACACCAATCATTCACACAAGACTAATCGTTGGTAACAGAAACAACAGAACGTTAGCACGAGAGATGATATGCCATCAACCGAAACGACCATGACAATCAGCCGAGACATTGACCTCAACCAGACCTACATTTCAAGCATCCTAGATTTTTCTGTATATATTATTTCTAATAAACTATTCGCTTGGGTATGAACTTCTTCACATATCCCAGACATTAACATACAACCCATATCTCAAACAAAACGTCTATTCAGACCTTCACCTATACAACAAAGCACAAGACTCTGCATAGTACATCTCAGTATCCTATACAAAAAAAACCAACCGATAGACAAACTGACAAGGCTGATTCCTAAGTCAAAACTACCCGATCATGAATGGAATAAGCCCCAGTCGACACACCTCGTAGAATGCTTGACTCACCCACAACCAACTGATGAGACCCTTCAGCAAGGTCGAAACGCGTCTTGGTTTGCTTTGACTCACCCACACCCACCCTCTAATAGGTTCGAAATCGATTATGGTAGTTATATCTCACTCTACTAGAGATAAAGTACCATTATAGAGTGGAATTAGTTGTTCTCGGTATCTTTTAGATATCTGAATGACTAGTTCTCCTTTATAACAGGGTATTTAGCTTGGAATTGATTCAATGACATTATTTTGTTTTTGAAATAATGTTTTTTGATCTTTTTTGAGTTTTTTGCCATTTGAGAATGAACTCTAATAGGTTCGAAATCGATTATGGTAGTTATATCTCACCCACACCCACACCCAAAAGAGCTATAAGAAGTATATAAAACTACTGTTCAAGTTAATACTAGTGATGACATCAACAGAAAGCATAATTCAGTATAGGCATTCAGTCGAGGGTTAAGCGAGTCTGCCTCGACGAGCGTTATTTATATCAATAGTGTTGAAATATATTAACAATGCTTGAGAGTGAGGAATGGCGAGGATGCATTTTTCTGTATCTCAACCTTTAACCACACCTAGAGCCGCACTTTGATTTCATCGTACTTTTATCCTTGCTTTTGTCCAGCGCTTATTCTCACACGTTTACCTACGCCACTCACCATCAAGATTATTCGCACATGAGTTTATAAGAACATAAAAAAAAGTATGATTATTCATCTGAATTATAGTTAATACCATGGTTCCCGATTAGTTTTCAAAGTGTTGAGGGCTAAATTTTGCCAGAAAGTCTTTCTGTCAACATTCNGAGAAGTCCTTTACACTTGTTCTGTCAACATTCGTTAATTATAACATGACGTCATGTATATATATATGTGATCAGAGCGAAAGAAGATATATGTAATGACGGCATGTAGACAGAACAAGTGTAAATGACTTTTTGAAAGAGATGGTAAAGAAAAGTCATAGACTTTCTGCTAGAAACACTGATGAAAAGTCATTAAATTTTCAGCAGAAATAATGACGAAAAACTATGGAGATTTTGGCAGAAATAGTAAAGAAAAGTAATAGACTTTCTTATAAATACTCTATTTAATTAGAATTTAACTTAATCAGTGTTGATTTAAGGAAAAAAAATGTAATTTTAGTATAGTTTAAAACATTTACCCTACGATCAAAAATTACAAGTGGCAAAATGTTAAAAAAAATTTGACAGAAAAAATTTTATTTGGGGGAGCTAGCCCCCCCCCCCCCCCCCTTATCGGGAACCATGAGTTAATACAAATAAAAAATGAGTCTTTATTAGAAGTTTTGATGTTCTTGTTGTAAGCGTTGAATTTTCTCTTTCACCAAATTGATTTCAAAATGTGTTTCATGTAAAAATCGTTGTAACATACTTAGACTTTCTTGATAACATTCTAACGCTCGTCTATAAATTTTCATTCGCCAAAAGTTCGATCCCATATGATGCAAGGTGATACCAATATCTGGATGTCCATCGGGAAAAAGTTTTTGTTGTTCCATCAAAGCTTGATGAAATGTTTCTGAAGATAATTCTAGATCTCCATGATGGCTATAAGCAGTTGCTAAACAACTAAGTGTTCGACATATCAATATTGGTTCAAGATTGTCGGATTTAGTTAAAATATCATATGTAAGTTGAAAAAGTTCAATAGCTTTAATTGAATTACCCATGTCAAGATAAACAAGTGCTAACCGACGTTTATGAATTGGTTTGTTAGGTGGCCAGAAATGTTTACGCATTTCATCAGAACGTTCATGAAGTTCAATAGCTTTGTTGAATTCTTTTCGAAGACGATGTAAATCAGCAATGACAGTCAAAACATTAGCTATCATTATATGACCGTTAGGGAAATTTTTCTGTCGAATTTCAAGTACCTTTTGAAAACAATCGAATGCCATATCAATTTCTCCTCTATCCGCATGTATACCACCAATATATCGTAATAAATCAGCAATATATGGATGATCATCGGGTAAAAATCGTCGACAAGTGTCAAGAGACCGTTTGAGTTCATCATATGCCATATCCCATTGTCCAGACATTTCTAGTAAACCTCCAAGAGCCGCAAGTACTTTATAAATAGTTGGATGATTTTGGGGTAAAGTACGCTGAAAAATGTCAAGACCCTGTTCACAATATTTAAGAGCTAATTTATAATTGTGTTTTCGTTGATAAGCCCAGCTGATACCACATAAAGATTCTGCAATATGACGATGATCTGGTCTAAAAATTTTCTTTTGGGTGCTTAAGACTCTTTCATAAAGTTCTAGTGCATCATCAAATCTACCAGCAAACATATGAACATTCGCCAGATTAAATTCTAATCGTAAATAACCAGGATTGTCAGATGATAAATTCGATTTCTTATACAAATCTAATCCTTCAGAAATAATATCAAATGATTCTTTGTATTTACCCATAAAGAAGAGAGCTCGACCGTGTTTTTGACGAATTGCTGCTTGTAAACCCACATCTTCTGCCGGCAATCGTTGAGCTAATTTTGTAAAATAAGCACAAGCTTTATCATATTTTCCCATTGCCATGATAATACCACCAAATATGACATGAATATTGGTTTCTTCAGTATCGTAACGAAGTAAGCGGCCATATTCGATAAAATTGTCACGACCTTCATCTGTAGCTTCGAGATGAACACACCAACGATTGTTAATCTCATCTTTATAGACATTTTTTATTTTAAATACTGCTGATATGCTGAATAATACTTCTCGTTCATCTTGCATGAGACTCAATTGATCAATACGGGCAAACGCGATCGATTCAAGACTAGTATTAACATCAATCTGAACAAGAACACTCCAACGATTTTCGCGATGTTGACCCTCACCAGCATAGATAGTAGCTACCTATTCATAAAATAAACTAATTCATTCGATAAAATAATAAACGATAAAAAGAATTTACCTCCAAATCAAGTGACGATGACCAGAATGCATTAGTTGAAACAAGGTTACCTATATTTTCTTGAAGTTTTTTTATTTCTTCAATAGTCATTCGTTGTCCATGATAAACAGTTATTGATGATGTTGTAAATGGCCGATAGTATTGCTCTTCTTCGATTTTAGTACATAGATCAACAATAAATGGACGAAATAAAATGAGTGCATCAATATCTTCAGTTCGTAAAGCTGCATTTAATCGATGATAAAGAAATGAATCACGAGTATACCATCGAATTGCATCATATGGCTGGTATGTTACACGAAATTCATCAATCATTTTTAATTGAATATTATTATCTCTGTAATAATCAGCGCACATATCAAGCATATCATCTAGAGTTTGTTTTGAAGATGGAATTTCTTTTAATACATTTAATAGAATTAAAGACCACATAAATGAAGCAGCCTCAGCTGTTACATCTCGTATAGTCCGTTGTTTTTGCTCGAAAAAACGAAATGCTAATGACTGCCGACGCCATGGTAGCATATCCACAGTTAATTCTTGCATTAAAATAGACCAATCATCAAAACAATGTATTCTTGTATTAGGTGTTAATGAATTTGAAAATGTTTGTTCATGAATATAGATACCTTTCAGCCATGAACATTGATTACAAGTTTCAATTATTTTTTGACCTTCTTCTTCGGATAGAGTAATAACGAAAATTCGATCTTTTTTTGGTGACATTCGAATATAATCAATACAAGAATCAAGTTCACTAAAATGTTGATAATGTTTTATAGGACATTTTATTTGTTGTTGTTCATGTGGTAATGTTAAAGGATAAAGTGATTCATCTTTAAAAAGAAAAATTAATATAATATTATCATGAAATTCATCACTCGTCGGGGTAGAAATCGTCGTAAACGATGAAGAAATTGATTCTGATCGAGACCACGATCCACTTGAATTTGATTTTGTATCGCCATTATCGATCGTCAATTGCAAATCGTTTGTATTAATAACAGATTCACCTAAAAAAGGAACTCTAAATTATACTCGAAAAAATATCGTTTTCAGCAGAAATGAGCTATGGGTAGGATGATAGTTTTTACTCTACAAATATAAACTCCGTATTTATAGGAAAAAAAGCAGATTTTCATCAATTTTTTCAGTCAAAATAGCTCAGTATAAACAAGTGAGTTCATCACGTTAAAATACAAAATTACCTATCCATCTGACAAAACCAGTAGAGAAATTATTTCATTTTTTTATGTTAATTATTTTAAAACGTCATGCTGACAGATCAATATGAGACAAATAGATGTTTTGTGATTTCGTGAAGCTTCTGTCTATATAATCTTACTAGCTGCTTGTACGGGCTCGATTTGTAATTTGGTTTCGGGTGAGTTCGATGCTGTTGTCATCGGATCTTTTAATCCTGATTCAGTAGAAATTGTAGTTGTCAATTGCTGTTGCTGTTCTTTTTCCATCTTTCAGAATGTGAAAGTGATCGTTTTAAGCAATAATAGATGTCAATTATAAATCAACACTACTCATACTGTCAGAGATGAATAAAATGTTACTTTATATTTATATTTGTATTGAAACGGTAGTTTCCAACGTGTTTATTGGAATTTTCCAACTAGGCAACTTTTTCTTTCCTTTTTCTAGAAGACATTTTTGGACTTTTACTTTATAACATCTAGTATCTCTTAACCTTATCTTAAAGCAAAAACTCACTATTTTTATTATATTATTTACGTATTTCTTTACATTTTCGTCACCATATTCTCATCTCTCTACGAAGAGAAATTATTCGTGAATTTCTATCCCGTATAATTACGAAAGAGTCCATTTTAATCAGATTAACAGTCACTATATTCTATAAACATAAATATTACGGTGACAAAATTGACTCAATTAAAGAATATATAGAGATATGAGTGAAACGCAAATGTTCTTCTTCCATATATACTCTGAAAGCTTATTTGTAAACATGTCGTTGGATAGATAATTATATTAAATTATTATAAAACAATATTTGGTATCAAAAAAGATATTGAAATCTACTTTCAAGAATAAAAAAATCATTATTTTCCCACTGTTCGTTTTCACTTGTAATCATAATATATTTGCTGAAACTAAAAAGGTATAGATAAGAGTGCGAAAGAAGTAGAGACCTTTAGCGTCTTACTTATATCTACATCTACATCGTCATTTCATCCGTAGGCATTTTACAGACGACATTTTGTCGTCCTCCGATAATTTAAAATACAAAATAAAAAATTTGTCTTGTTCTATACTTCTTTCATACAACTTCACAAGTGGTTTAATTTTGCCATAACATTTAATACCGTGCGATTGTATACAACATTTATTTTCTTTTTTTATTTTTGTTTGTCATAATTTTTGTGTTCCTTTCAGTACCTTATTTTTACCCAATCATTCAACAAATGGCAACATTAACTGTTAGAAAGATGTGAATATGGGTAAAAAAAGTAACATCATCTCACTTTCTACTCTTATTCATATTGTAATTGATGGATTGTATATTTTTAAAATTATAATAGACTGAAACATTTTGTCCACATAACGATGTGTTGGTATAAGACTAAATTCTAGTGCTTTACCGATATTCTTAATTTATATCTACTCCATATATGATTTGTACGGTATTGATAAATAAATATTTATTAGAAACACTTTCTAACTTTACTAAAATGAAAAAAATTAAATGAAGAGTTCCGCGGGAACTTCGTCAAGTATTTAGTCTGTTGATGGTGATTTTTTCTCTGTATTTTATCATAAATTAATCAATATTAATAGTTTTTTTAAAAGACGATTATGAAAACGTGTGTTAAGAAACTTTTTAAAGTATGATGTTTTATTATATTTCATCAGAAAAATATTCTGCTGATGTCAAAGGTTTAGTCATAGAAAAAAACAACTACAGATTGAATAAAGGAAAGCTCGCTTAATAATCTAATATACATTTAATACTTCTAAGAAAAGAACATGTGAGTAAATATTTCTACGTTAATGAGTTTGTTGTTTTAAAATGATATTATTTCATTCCTTTTTAACTCTTATTACATCGTTATTACAAATAAAATGATAGAATTGTACAAGATACAATGACTGAAAACGTTATACATGTTTTGTCTTTCTCATAGTATGTAAATTCATGTTATATGCGAATAGTTTAATATACAAACTGTATGTGTGTTGTTATTTATGTAAACATTAATTAACAAGTAACGCTCGTCGAGGCAGACTCGCTTGACCCTCGACTGAATGAATCACACTTGGGATAGATTCATTCATCATTCGGCTGCGAACAACGGAGGTCGGCAGGCGACAACAATTTTGTGCCATTCTTTTCTGTTCGCAGCAGTCTTTCGTATTTCGGTAATTGTTGGTGGTTCATCGTTATTGATCAGTCTTGCGACGTAATCAGGATAATTTAAGCGTGGACGACCACGCTTACGTTTTCCATGACCAGGTCTGGGTGTGTATAGAGCGTATTGANATTCCATACACCTTAGAATACCTTTTTTTTTCAGTGCACTGGATATTGATGATCGTATATGGATCGATGCAGAATCAAATGCTCTATCTAATGAGACTAATACAAGATGAAATAGATATACCTAGATAAATTCTTCAGGGTAAGATTTCTTCACATCAACACCATGCTGGCAATGGGAATAGTCATAACATCATCATCATTCGGCCGCGAACAACGGAGGTCGGCAGGCAACAACAATTTTGTGCCATTCTTTTCTGTTCGCAGCAGTCTTTCGTATTTCTGTAATTGTTGGTGGTTCATCGTTATTGATCAGTCTTGCGACGTAATCAGGATAATTTAAGCGTGGACGACCACGCTTGCGTTTTCGATGACCAGATCTGGGTGTGTATAGAGCGTATTGATTGATGAATTCATTTGAGTTTCTTCGAAGACAATGTCCAATGAAGCGCAGTTGTCGACGTTGCACTATCTGTACCATCGGTTCTTGTTTGACTATTCCGTATATGGTGTTGTTTGATACTTTGTCGAGTCGTTTGATCCCTAGCATTATTCTGTAACAACTAGTAGCGAAACTGTTTAGAACTTTCTCGAGTTTGTTTGTGATGGTCCAACTTTCACAGCCAAATAAAAATATTGAAAGACAAGAAGCTTTGTAGATGTTGGTTTTTAACTGTATTGGTATTGTCGTGGATTTCCACATATTTTTCATTCTCCAAAAGGCTTTCCATGCTTGGCCTTTTCGAACTTTAATGTCGGTATTACTGTCTAATACCATTGAACCAAGGTATTTGAAATTATTGGTCCATTCTATATCTTGTCCGTTTAGTTGAATTGATTGATTGATTGTATTTTGGTTGGTCAATACTTTGGTTTTCTTTATGTTGATTTGGAGACCCACTTCGCTTGCTCTTTTTGTTGTTTGAATGAGTTGTGATTGGGCTCTTTCCAGACTATTTTCCAGAAGAGCTATGTCGTCGGCGAAGTCTAGATCGTGTATTGTTGCTGCTGGTTGGCGGCTTGATTGTCGTTTGTTGGTTATGAAGCCATATTCTGCATTTTCATCTGTGTGATCTAACTGAGCATTTTTCATAACGTAATCAATCACGATTATGAAGAGAAAAGGTGCTAGAGTGTCTCCCTGCAAAACACCAGTCGTCACATCGAATTCTTCTGAGACATTATTGTCTACAAGAACTACACTTTTTGAATTTTGATATATAGCCTTAATTGCGTTAACTATTTTGAGGGGTATTCCATAGTGTCTCAAAATATTAAACATTATTTTTCTATCTATCGAATCAAAGGCTTTTTTAAAGTCCACAAACGTTATGAAGATTGGTAACTGTTTGTCAACTGCGCTTTCTAGGATCCTACGAATGACATGAATCTGGTCAATACAACTTCCCCTTTCCTGAAACCTGCTTGTTTTATTCTAAGAATCGAGCCAAATGGTTCTCGTATTCTATTTAACAGGATCCTGTTATAGGTCTTAGCTGCAACTGACATTAGACTTATGCCTCTGTAGTTCGCCGTAAGCGTTTTATCGCCTTTCTTCGGTATTGGAATTATGATGTTGGTGTTGAATTGTTTTGGTATTTGTTGGTTTTCATAAATTCCGTTGCATATGTTACATAGTTGATTTAATATCCATTGACCGCCATACTTGAGCACTTCAGGTGTTATTGCGTAATCCAGTCCAGGTGATTTTCCATCTTTTAGTTGTTTGACTGCTTGTTCTACTTCTTCAAGTGTAATAAGACCTTGGTTGATTGGTAGGCCTTCAAGAGCTGGTGGGATTGCTTGAGTATCTTGGGAGTTGTTTGATTTGACGTTGAGTAGATCTGTGAAGTAGTTTTTTCATTCACTCTTTAGTTCAGCTGTTGAATTTATTCTAGTTCCATCTGCTCTTTTGATTTGTGATGCACTATTGTGTCTTCGCTTGCCACTGATTTCGTCGACCAGACACCAGGTTGTTCTTATTTGGTTTGATAAAGCTGCTTGTTTGAGTTGTTCAAGTTTGTCTTCTAGGAATTTTATTTTGTCGTTGTTGTAAGATGTGTCCAGTTGTTTGTTGAGTGTGTGCCATTGGTTTTTGTTTTTTATACTTGGGTTGTGTTGGAATTTGACTTTAGCTTTATTTCGTTGTTCGAGGATGTTGACTGTGTCCGATGTAACCCAATTTCTTCTTTTTTTTGCACCGATTTTCCAACCAACTTTGTTGTTGTTTCTTGTATGCTTGTCACAAGGTTGTCGTATCTCGTTTGTATGTCCTTGTCAGTGTTGTCGTTGTTCAAAATCTCAAAACGAATTTGCACTTCTATGTTAAATTGCGATTGTAGTTTGGAGTTATTTTTTAGTTTGTTCCAGTCAAACTTGATTCTCTTGTTTTTGTTTTCTTTCGTTGCTCGCAGACTGATCGATAGTTGCGCACTAACAATTTGATGATCAGAGTTCAATTCGACTGTGTTGTATGCACGAACATTTCGGATTGAATTCAACCATTTTCCATTGATAAGAATATGATCAAGTTGAGCTTTGGATTTGCCATTTGGATGTAGCCAGGTCCATGATCTTGATTGCGGTTGTGGAAAGCGAGTTTGTGTTGAACGCATGTTACAGGCTTCGCAATAGTTGACGAGTCTGTTGCCGTTGTCGTCGGTCGAATGGTGGTATGTGTATTGGCCAATTGCTCGTGAATTTGTTGTGTGGCTATCAGATCCCAATCTGGCGTTGAGATCTCCAGCGAGTATCAGGACGTTGTGTGATGGAACATCATGTGTATACCTTTGCAGGTCGTCGTAGAACATGTCTTTCTCCACGTCACTTTTGTCTTCTGTAGGTGCGTAGGTAATGATGATGGTTATTGCTGGGTTACCCATAAAATGCACTGCCATTATGCGATTAGATATCTTTTCTGAAGAGCTGAAGAATGCTGACATTCTAGGATTCATCAGTAATCCAATGCCTCCGTGACCTTCTGGTGTTGCAGAGCAATATTCGAAGCGCCATGTTTCGTCGTTCAGTGTTTGATATGCTGTGTTTGTTTGTTCTGAGGTTTGCCAACGATGTTCTTGAACCGCTACCAAATCGATGTTGTTTTTGTTGCATCCATATATCAGTTGATGAAGTTTTCCTGTTTGTTTGAGTGTGCGTACATTGGAGGTAGATATAGTGATGGTCTTGTGTAGAATCTTCTTTTGGTTTTTAAGGTTTTTTGGTTTTAAACGACTCGTCGCTGCTTTTTCAAAGACAGGAGACTGCCTTATCATAAGTTTCGATTCGCGTGGAATCTTCGCTAGCTGACGACGAGACGAAAGACTGTTGCCCGGAATGGGTTCTTCAACTGTTGTTTTCGGAGTCGTTGAGAAGCACGCTTCGAGTGACTAGCCCTGAAGTGCTTACCAGAGCCCATCTTAGCCGTCGAGAACGACGTTTCCATCCGACACTGCGAGGAAGTGAAGGGTTGGGTTTTGTCGGATATGGGAATAGTAATGGCCTCTATGATTCTACATCTATTTGAATTCATTTGAAATTATCACGAAACAACTCGCGGCACAATTCTGCGTTGAATGATATATAAGAATAGGGAAAATTAAATATGGGCAAATTTACGACCTTAGCGATCCCCGTCCTTTCTCAGCCTGATACTCCATTAATCTAAAGAAAACGATTTTTCCTCGATTCCGCCATGTCCTCGCGTGTATCTTCGAAGTTCGATATTTTCGAAAAGAAGGCACAACTGGATGAATCCTTTTGAGATTTTTCATACCTCGTTGAGATCTAATTGTGGCCAAAAGATCGAATCTAAACCGCTTTAACGCCTCTGTATGCTTCCTCGCCCATGGCATTTGCTTACTTCACACGCCCATCAATAATTAATATCTTTTCGATAATACTCTGGAATGTTTTTACACATTTTTCACCTTGTTATATTCAATTACCGCGGACGATGTCCTTAAACGATGCTGCAGCTTATTACTCAAAAGAAAATATGTTGAATCACAATCTACTCAACTTTGCAGTTGCCAAACGATTATACTGTTCAAATTATAAAAGAGATAACGTTGTATTAGTAAAATAAAACATTGAAAAAATAACATGATGTCCTTCACACACAAGACGATCATTCGTGAAGCAGAATTCCATGATTTTCGGACAAAATCTCTAAGAAAGCTCGCCAGTTCTGAGCGAAACCTGCTTGTAAAATTCCAGGAACCCGATGGAGAAATGCGTTAACTGTTCCGACTACCGATTTTGCCGTGTTGCTGTCGGTTCCGGTCCAAAATAAATAATTCAGTCACCGGATCCGCTTAGCGGGAATACTGCTCCCATTAAGTGTTCGGACTATCACGGAATCGGCCGTTTCCGTGCTGGATAGTGCGACCTCAGAAGGTGGTTTTCCTCTGAATAATGCTAATTACGGAAAGGTACCAGTTCAGTGTTCTATGAGTGGGATGAAGGATGCTCGCATTTTTCGGGTTGTGATTGAACATATTTTCTTTTGAGTAATAAGCTGCAGCATCGTTTAAGGACATCGTCCGCGGTAATTGAATATAACAAGGTGAAAAATGTGTAAAAACATTCCAGAGTATTATCGAAAAGATATTAATTATTGATGGGCGTGTGAAGTAAGCAAATGCCATGGGCGAGGAAGCATACAGAGGNATTGTTAAATTCAGCCATTAGTGCTATAATCGTACATACAAAAAAAGTCGGCAATGCTTGTGCATAATTGATTTGCAATGGGCTCAGTTTATGTTCACAACTATATGAAAAAGAAAAGCAGTTGACTAGTTCCTGTTTAAAAGAATTAGTCGATATTCTATTTAATAATTGTTTGCTTGAGATGAAGAGAGAAAAAGAGTTGTTTGTTTTGCGTACTTTATTGACTAGTTTCTGTCAAGTTTTGACTTGACTTCATCAGAATCTGAAAGAAAACGTAGTTGTTTGAAATGAAAGTAAATGATGTATGAAAGATACGTATGCATAAGATCGGTTCTCGTAAGAGAAGCTAGATATGTTTATCTTATGCGATGTACCAGGACGATCTTATGTGAATTGTCGAATTTCTTCCACTATTTATAGTCCCCGATAGTGTTGCTGATTGGTGTGTTAAAAGATATGTTAATGGATCAATCAGAAGTCTAGTCTTAACCGACTAACAGCGTTGTCAATAGATTAGTCAAAGTGTTAAAAACGTTGAAAGGTCATCTGATGAAACTTTCATTTAAAAAAAAAGGAATGATTTCAAGGTAAATACATCAATAAAAGTAGTACCAAATACGAGGTTCGAACTCGTAGTCATCAGTGTGACACACCATTGATCCACTCAATCATTTAGTACGATTATACGTCTGTCCATATTTCATTTTACCATTGAAAGTGTCAATCGGTATTATATGACAGAAAACTTCCAAATTCCCTTTGACAGAATAGAGAAAACATTTGATTAAACAATTAAGGAATTTCTTAAAAGACCAATGATTTTCATGCATGTGTGCTATGTAAACAGATAATTTCGCTGTAATCGACACAAGATCATCATTTTCGTATAGACACCATCTCGAATAGCAGAGAATGGGTTTACGGAATTTTGGTTTTTGATCGACACCATAGTCATTAGAATGATTTCATTAATCGTTTTCATTTTTATTCTAGATGACACCCACTTTCGATGTTCAAAACTCTGCTGTCTCCGGCGATGATGGAGTAGCGCGTGATGCTGCTTTTCAAGCGCTGAGCCCATTCTCCGGAGCCTTCTCTCCTACACAAGTTCGAGAACAAATGGTTGGTCCGATTCTGAATGGTCCACCAACGTCCATTTGGAGGAGAACCACCATTTCACATTCGAATGTTGACGGGTCCTTCTGCTTGTATGCTTGTGAAAGAACAGGTGAAGCCATGTGGATACCAAATGGCGACCACTTTGTGTCCGACAGATCACAGAGGGGCCGGTCATCTAGGAGCGTCATGGATTACCTGTTCTCTCGCAGTGACCAGACAGATGGATCTCGCAGCTATGGATTCCATCATACTGGTCGTACGATTACTGGCGAGAATAGGAATATTCATCGACCCAGAAACACTCATGCCAGTATGATGGGGAGATCGGAGAAAACCGGGTCTACTTGACTGGTCCGTTTCAGCCCAATGGCTCGTTGTGAACCATCTGCCGCTGGTATGGGGACCACGAGGATGGTAGCTCGACGAGAACGCAGAGAAAATGCGCGCAATTCTGGCTATACAACAACAATACCACAAACACCAGTAACTCCATCAACCAATTCGACCACCACTACTGCAGCAGCCGTCATCCATACCTCTACCAATGAAACAAGTCCACAACTCCAACAGTTGAATTTATCAGACGAAGAGTTGATGTGAAGACGCGTGGCTCATTAGGCCCTCATCTTCCTTCCTCTTTCATACATCTTCCTCTCGTTCCTTGTTCGCACGACACTCCTCAGTGTCAGGTTAGAGAGGCCCTTCTGGCCATTAACCCCAATTTCGTTTTAACAAAGAGCAATATATGATCACAAAAACTATCATTTCAATCATCAGCATATGAAACGTGGAAATTCTAAAAAGAAACATATGAACTAAAACTAAGGAAAACTCATAGATAGTTTAATCAAATAATCTTCTCAGAAAAGTCCATCAAAAGGTTGATCTCTAACTACGGTCCGAAAGATCGCCAACCAAGACAAAAAATACATATAATAGAACTCATGCTATCAACAAATTACATCTTCCAATGGATGAATCTTCGCTGTCTGCCGAAGAAATCCTAAGAAATAAGAAGAGCATTGACGAGCCGTCGAGAGATTTTCGTGTGAAAGCAACACAATTGTATTTGATAGTTGCGAAAGGCGAATACGACTTTCAGAATGAAAGATTAGATAGACTTCTGAAAGATTTTCCACCAGATACATACGATGTACCACTGACGCAAGAACAGCAGGCGGTAATCGACAACAAAGTTGACGACGACGATAACGATGGTGGAAATCATCCAAGTCTCACCCAAAGAGTACGAACACAAACAGATCTAAATCATGAAAACAGAATTGAGTCAAAAGGTTCAGAGATGTTTTCAGAATATGTCGAAATTTCGTACAAAAAAGCAATACTTGAAATCGAACGAGAAGTTCTTTTTTTAGAAGAACGCAGCGTCAAAGAGACGCCCTTCGAAATACAGAAAGCAAGAAAGATGAATCCTGTACTGTGAAAAGATTTCACGCTCCAAGTATAATCAATGAAACTAATCTAAGTCTTGATAGGGCCGAATATGATCTGCTGAAACTCGGTCCTAAGTATATTCCTGATAACCCTCATCTCGCACATAAACGTATGAAAAACGAGATAGATGTGGTTATGGGAAAAATCAAAAAGATTTTTGGTGAACATGGATGGATATTACCTGTTCAACGTTTTGAACTCTTTCAAGGTTCATTGACGAAGATATTGACCGGCTGTCACGATAAATATCATCCTTCAGATCACCTAAAAACAATCAAAAGTCTAGAAAGAAAGTTCGAAGCCACGAAAACAATCATCAGAAAAACAGATAAATCAAAAGTTTTTCATCTAGGTACAACTGATGATCACATAAACAAAGCTCGAACACACATGATGAAAACAGATGCATATCAGGACTTGAAAGGAAGAAATCCATTAGATGCATTGGTTAGTCGTACGAATGAGTTTCTATATGCTATATGGGTGAACAAGCATATAACCCAGAAGCATTGCGAAAATCTAAAAATACAACGGAGCGAAACTGAATTAGCTCATCTGTACTTCTTGCCAAAAGCGCATAAACCGAATACACCATTGAGACCCATAGTAGCGGGAATGAAATCACCAACTATAGGGATATCCAAATGGTTAGATGATGTATTGAGACCGTTATTTAATCAATTAGCTTCTGAAACAGCAATTGAAAACGGTACTCAACTGATCAAGTCAGTTGAAAGATGTTCAGAGAATTATCTCACATCATCAACTACATTCATATCCATGGACGTGACAGATCTATACACAATGATCCCACAAGAAGGGGCAGTGATAGCTATCAAAAGATTACTAGAAGAACATAATCTTAAACAAATTGACGGTATTAAGAAAGAAATTATCTTAGCTCTTACTAGATTTGTTCTAACTAATAATTATTTCTATTTTGATGGGTCATATTATAAACAGATAAAAGGAGGTGCCATGGGTTCGCCACTAACCCTCACCATAGCAAATACATACATGTATTTTGTTGAACGTCCCATTGCGAAATGGGCTAAAAGAACGTTCTCATTGTACTATAGATATATCGACGACTTATTCATCATGTCAAATGTACATGAAGACATATTAGAAGGTCTCGTGAGATTCTGGAATAGAATTGACAGTAGTATCATTTTTTTCCGAATCAATAGGAAAGAACGTTCAATACCTGGAAGTAGATTTTGAGAATAGAGGAGGGAAATTAATATCAAAAGTGTATCACAAACCTTCACATGAATTATATTTTCTCCCTTTCTCTAGTATACATGCACAACATATAAAAAGGAATATTCCTTTCGGTGCTCTCGTTCGAGCAATAAGATACTCTTCAAGTTTTGATGATTACAAACTAGAAGAAGCGCACATATGCTTGTCTTTGCTCTTGAACCAATATCCGTTGAATTTCATTTTGAAACAATTTGAAAGAGTTTCGCAAGCCTTTCATCGTGCAGTTCCGACACAACAGAATTTCTTGCAGATACGAAAAACCTTTCTAAATCACAAAAGAAATGAAATAATAAAAAAGAGAATTGATTTCGAGGTCAACACAATGTGGCATTTTTCCTTTTGTAAAGGTATGAGCGAATTTGCGACCAGTTTTCATACACTATGAAATCAATGTTTTTCGGATACACCAATATGTAATAGGAAGCCTATTGTTGGTCCTAGAAGATTGCACAACCTTCTAGAGTATTTAGTACGTAAAAAACGAAATAAAGCATTCCTAAAATAATTTACCTACCTACATCTTCTTCGCATCTCATAAGTAATCATAAAAAGAAGAAGATGCAGTGAACTTTTTCAACGAAACTATAGGCTCATTTAGCCCTAGTTTTTTGCTATTACGGGTTCTTCAAGCCCTAACATAGTTCATTTCGAAAAATCTTTGTATTCCAAGTTGTTCATTGTAATTAAGTATATTTTAGAGTTTTTTGTACAGTGGTTCTGATGAAGTCAAGTCGAAACTTGACAGAAACTAGTCAATAAAGTACGCAAAACGAACAATTCTTTTTCTCTCCTCATCTCAAACAAACAATTCTTAGATAGAATATCGACTAATTCTTTTAAATAGGAACTAGTCAACTGCTTTTCTTTTTCATATAGCTGGGAATACTGCTCCCATTAAGTGTTCGGACTATCACGGAATCGGCCGTTTCCGTGCTGGATAGTGCGACCTCAGAAGGTGGTTTTCCTCTGAATAATGCTAATTACGGAAAGGTACCAGTTCAGTGTTCTATGAGTGGGATGAAGGATGCTCGCATTTTTCGGGTTGTGATTGTTTGCCGCACAGATGAAAAAACAAATTAATAAATTTTGGACTCGGAACATTTTTACTAATGGTATCATCAGTGCTTTCAGCATGACGAATGTAGCCATACAACGCAGCTCCCATTAAGCACACAGTGATGCCTATGAAATTATCAAATCTAATTGATATTTGTTCGTGTGGTAGAAAATGGCCGCCGACTATTATGAGAATAGTCTTTAAATGACCTACAACTTGGAAGGTGATTGGCGATGTATGTCCGATCAACCCATAAGAGCACAGATTGGCAAAACCGGCTAAGATAGCACTGAAGATGATCCATTGTGCCTCTGTGACAGTCCATCTGTGAGCTAAAACATCCATTTTTGTATGAAAATTGTTAAATTCAGCCATTAGTGCTATAATCGTACATACAAAAAAAGTCGGCAATGCTTGTGCATAATTGATTTGCAATGGGCTCAGTTTATGTTCACATTGTACTATGCCTTGCCAAATTTGATACTGAGTGGTGATCATAACAGCAACTATACCAATACTGCTGCCTACTATACTTAAACTGACATCTGCTACCGTGGCATAAAACATTCCAGTAAGAATCACGATTAATGATAAATTGCTGCCAAAAGACGTGTGTTTCTTGTAAACAATTCGTTCCACAAAAACTAACCATGGGATACCCAATAGTTTACACAACTGATAAAAGCCTACACTATTGAACTTTAAACTTAAGTTCATCAATCCTACCGATCCAGTGCAGAAAACTGCCATTTTGGCACTTGTACCCCATGGAAGACGAGTGCGATCAAATAACCCTACCATAGCCATAATCTCCATTTCTATCGCTGTTACCAAGAAGTGGATTGATGTTAAAGTGAATACGAAGCTGAAATTGAATGGTGGCCCCATTAGTACTTTATTTGTCAGAATTAATCCAACAGAACTGAAAATACTCCCTACTATCCATAGGCTTGTTCTTATATAATTTGTGCTTTTGGTCATCGATGCCAATGAAGAGAACACATAACTTTGATCATGGGAATAGCTTTGTAAATTTTACAAGTTCAGGATCTTTACAACACTGCATTTTGTGTGATAATCAAGAACGAGTTAATGATAGAAACATTCAACGGTTATTTGGATAATCCAGCAAAAATGATAGTAACCTTTTTTCAACTTCTATTCGTTCTCAAGTTCTCTTTCACGATAAGAATGCTGTTAAAGAAAGCCGATGCGAGGTTTAGCTGCTATAGCGATTAACCTCGAAGTAGCTGAATGGTATTTATTGAGTAAAATACTTTTTCCCTATGGAAATAGTCTGTGATATTTTACTGTTCAGACAGCGTGGAGAATGCGAATTAAGGCATCCGCACTTCAAAAAAGTAATTTTTCGTTCCAGAATGAGCTTTGAGAAAAACGCACGAGAATGATTACTGAATTGCTTACTTTTCAAGTCCGTAAATATATTATTGAATCTCTAAGTTGCTTTTATTAGATTTGTGTAGAAAATGACTCTAGTTAGTTGGGACTATCATCACTTGTAAAAACGAAAAGAAAATATATCTCTTACAATATTGAGCAATAAGTGCCGCCATACATCACGGCAATCATAGTGTAACGTGCTGAAATGTATATCTATCATAGACATACAGTCTTCTAATTTTATGTAAGTTATAGGAAATGTCCACAAAGATTGGTTCTTCATTTTGTGAAACACAATCTGAAGGAGCGCGTTGATGTTTTTCGGAGTAAAAGTTTTGACCATCTACCCCCACCACAGGCCGGGACCAATGGGCCCTCAAATCCCGTTGTACGATGTGATTGATAGACCGAAAACTCATAAATACTTTGGGTTATCCAAAAGTGATGTCGGATCTATCTTATTTCCTTATAAGACGATAAGAAAAGAATCCTTTTCTTTATACAGCGATAGAGAAAATGAAGCTCTATTTTTCTATACTAATTGATCCCTATCTAGCTAGTGTTAAAGTGATTAAATTTGGAGCAAAACTATGAGCGCACGAAATTTCACTTTGGCAATACGTAATATTTTCGTCCATGTCTAGCTTAGTTTTCTCTTTCTGTTCTTCTTTTCAGTTTTCTTGCGTATTCTTGTTAATGCATACAAAAAGGATGGTGATCGAAAAAAATGAGATGTAAGCAAATCAAAATAAACTTTATTTCATGAAATGTTCAAAGTAGTCACTTTGATTATCGACACACAACTGCATTCTCTCGATCCATTTGTCAAACGTTTTTCGATATTCTTCCTGATCCAACGAGTACATAAACTCATCTGTAGCATCATGTGATGATTGAGAATCGGTTTGATCGCTTAAGTTCAGTTTGATCGAATCGAATAGCCAGAAATCGCATGGTGATAAATCAGGGGAATTTGGCGGATGACGTGTGATTGTAAGGTCTTCAGATTCAAGATAACTAGACATATCCCGATGAATATGTGGTTTGCCATTGTCACGATGAAGAAGAATGCGATTTGTACCATACGAAAGTCGTTGGTGCTTGATTTCTTCGACAAGAGGTCGCAGGCAGTTGTCAATATAATATTCGTGGTCGATAGTTTGGTCTCGTTCCACATGATGGATCGACAGCGGGCTAGTCGATTAAAGAAAAATAGAAATAATGTTCCTGGAGCAAATCAGTCGCGACGAGGTACTGTAGGTGGAGCGTCACCTTTTGCCACCCAAGAAGCATTTGATGATTTTCGACCAGTTTCCTTGTAAAAAACCAAGACTGGTCATTTGCCACCACAATACACAAACCCCACGTTTCATCTTTAAATTTTCTTAAATTTTATTGACGGATTCGAACTCGTTCGTTCCGCTGCAAATCAGTGAGTTCTTTCGTTATATAGCGAGCCAGATTTTGGTAAGGTGTAAATGGTCTTTGATAATTTGCTGATTAGTCCCTTAGCTTAAACCAGTTTCTTCTTGTATTTCTTATATCGTCACATAAGAATCGACATCGACGATCAGACAAACTTGTTCAATGTTCTCAGAAGTCGTTGCAGCAATAGGTTTACCAGATCTTGTTTCATCATCAAGTTCTTCTTGACCTTGACGAAATCGCTGACACCATCTTTCAACTGTTCTAACGAAGGAACATTCTGAGGTGTTAAAGCGGTTCAGATCCCATCTTTTGGTCACAAGTAGACCTCAACGAGGTATGAAAAATCTCAAAAGGATTTATCCACTTGTACCTTCTTTTCGAAAATGTCAAACTTCGAAGATACACGCGAAGACATGGCGGAATTGAAGAAAAATCGTTTTCTCGAGATTAGTGGAGTGACAGGATGAGAAACTTTTTAATTTCGCTCATCATTTAGGCTGTCTACTGCGAGCCGGCAGTAAGATCAATCTGATCCATATCGACCTGATTCACTGTCCATTACTCTAAAACATGTATGAAGGTTCTCATTTTTCTCTGGTTTTAAGTCAAACAAGATTAATCATTGATGAGCGACGGAGAATGATTAACTATGGCAGTTCTAATTTTCTCTTTAGCACATACCATCATGCACTAGTGATAAATTCGTTATACTCATCTTTTTCTGTTCTTCCAGTGGCACTCTTCATATGCTTCTTTTCGCGTGTAGTCTGTGATACGCGCTGGTCTCTTTTTCTACGGTTTTTTACAATATACAAGCGAGATA